AAAAATAAAAACGACACTTTTCCCTACAAAAGGTCCAGAGTGAATCTCAGATCACTACTCAATCACTACGACACGAGTCCGAAATAGAGGTGGGTGATAAATAACGTCACGATGAAAAAAATCACGATGATCCGTCGTCAAACAGAATCATAGAGGTGGGTGATAAATAACGTCACGATAAAAAAATCACGATGATCCGCCGGCAAACAGTATCACCGTGACTCGTTCCGAAGGAACGACGTTCCAAAGTCACATAGGTGTTCCTCCGTTCCAATAGCTATCCCCGTCACTCACATCACGACGTACGTATTTGATACATTGTGACTGAGCGCGCCACTCGTTGTAATTCTTTTCAAATCGGGCCATTTCGGCGATGGGAGTGAATGAAATAGGATGACTTTCTTTGCTCACTCACAAGGTTCGTAGGTGCTTATTACTACTAGAAAAGGCGGATGAAAAAATCTGCAGAAGTTATTATAAACCTATTTATGAACAAAGTAAAATATTTTTGCATATTTGTTTTATTATAGGAAGAATTGGTATTTTATATTTATGTACTACTTGGTACTTGGTGTAACGGGCTAGTGTCCGCAACTCGACGTCAAGGCGCCTATTTTGCGTGTATATATTAATATATGCCTATTGTATATTAATATATATATTTTGTATATTTATGTATAATCTACTTTGTGTATTCTACTAGAAATATAATTACATTACACTTTATTGCTATTTTTAACAATCCAAAGATTCGTATTAAATAAGTAACAAACAAAATTACATTAAAAAGAAAATCAACTTTTTGAATGGAATTGAAACTTATTACAAAGGGAGCAAAAACTTAAATCATTTTATAAAAAACGGCTATAAGTATTAGAAAGAAGCCGCTGGCTGAAACCGTACATCGTGATGTAAGTTATAGGGGTGACAAGGTCGCGGAAGTAACAGTCGTGACAAAATCACGATGATTTATCACTGTGATTTTTTTGGAACCGGAACGACAGTCACGGCGATAGAAATGTAACGCTATTCCCCAAGTCTACAAGCGCCTGGCGAGCGACTCGTGAACAGTCCTATCTGCGCGCACAAGACATATTTTTGCTTACGCAAATTTCTTATGAGTCGAGTCACGCAAGCACGCGAAAAACTTAAGTGAAAGACTCGTGCACGTGCATTAGTGGTTTTTAATGTTGTAATAATTCAGTGTTTCGTATGTAATAAAAAAAAACTATATGAAAAACGAGATTTATGAATCATTCAGGATTTTTTTGGAAATCATTATTTCGAACAGTGAAAAAACCTTTAACAACCACACCACCATCATTTCTTGTAGGCGCGCTTTCCTTCAGTAACTTCAAGTTTTGACAGATGTCACCATAAACGGAAAAATAAAGGAAAAATTTGCGGAAAGTATTTATTTTTCTAAAAATATGATTTTTCCATGACCCAACATTCATCACTCTGAACTGAGAAAAAAAAAATGAGTTTTCTGAATGTCAACTCTACTCAATGCGCAAGTCAGGATTTGAGCAGACTTGAGTACGATTTGAAGCACTGGAAATCATACTCAAGTCCTTGCCATTAGGGTGGTATTTCCAGTGTTTGACAGCATACTCAAGTCAGGACTGAGTATAATTTAAAGCACTAGAAATCATACTCAAGTCCTTGCTATTAGGGTCGTATTTTCAGTGCTTGAAATCATACTCAAGTCCGACCGAAATACGACCCTTAGTAGTGCAGTCCATTTGCAGTTGGTGGAGGTATTTTTAAAAACAATTTTCTTACTTTTTGTCATGCAAATAGCTACAAAGACACAGAGGTGACAGAAACATTTATTTTCACGTGTTTGTAAAGGTGTTAAAAAAATCAGTTTCTTTATAAATATTCCTTTTCGTTTTAAAACTTTAAGATTTTTTGTTTTTCATTAATTATCTTACGTTATGTTGTCTTTAATTTGATTGTGCACCATAAATTACAAAAATAGCGTGTATCGAAACGTTGAGAAATGTCAGGTTCAAAAAGTTTATTCTACTTTCAGTGAATTTAGTGAAAAATTATTACTGTGCTTTTTGTGAATTATTACTGACCTAGCAAATTGTTCCTATCTACCGACCCGAGAGACAGGGTTTTCCGGAGTAACTACGGGCTCGACGGCAAGACCAGGGTACAGCGGGCGTCCAGGCCAAGCCCTCCGCCAGTTAAACGTCTTCACGGGCGTCTCTGGCGGACCCGGACTTGGGTTATGGACTCTCCGGGGCTTGTGGTTAGCTGCAGCGATGAACACGTTCGTCTGCCCCGTTTGTCCCGCGCGCAGCTAGTGCGTCTTAGTAGCGGTCTAGTTGAGGGCCTGAGGCGAGGAGACGCGCGGGCCACGTGAGTTGCCCTTTAAGTCGGTGGCTATGTCCGGACATTGTCGCAGGACACTGCCACTTGGGATCTCCGGCACTAGCCCGGAGAACTGGTAGAGGATGAGCTAGCCATCTTCTGGTCCCTCTGGCCGCGTAAGAATCTGGGAACTGGAGAGACGCCGTTCGTCGGCGTCGGGAAGTGAGAGTGCCTTACAGCTTCGCCACCAATGAGGAGATTTGGTAGTCGACTAAGAGTCGGCGGCTCAGCGGTGGCAACCATTAGTTGCACAGGGCGCGGCGGGAAGTGAGTGTGCCTGCAGCCACGGTACTATAATCGAGGGCTGTAGCTCAGATGCATTGCGAGAGGTATTTCTATAAACTCAAACTATAATAATCTTCAATTTTGTACTTTATTTCACTTTTTTACATAATTTTGGCGTAGGGTTACGAAACAATGATCTTAATATGATATGTCAAGATCCTTGTTTTCTTAGCGTTCCAAATACAAACTATAAACACTACCTATGTTCAGCCAGCAATCTTACTCAAAGAGTACAGCCTAGTCTACAGTACCTATTTATCGGATGAAGTCCGTGCAAACGTGCTGATCCAGAGCTAGGACCTGACTTAGATGGTCCCTGCGCAAGCTCGCTCGCACGGGTCATAGTGCTCTTCCCGCATATCCAAGAGGTTGATAGGGAGGCACAGAGTGTTATTTTACTTTAGTTGCGGACATTCTCGTTTTATGTTCGATTTCAATAGGTTGAATTCTAATAAATTATACAAAGAAATACCCGTTTAGATATTCATTTTTTTTTTAATTTAAAATAAGTGAGCATTTGACTTCCATCTTACCTGATGGAAAGTGACAATGAGGTCGAGGATGTAGCATGCACAATAATACTTATTCACTCTCGCCAAGTATAGCGTTCGGCAGGGAATTCCACTCCCTAGCCGCTCGCCATACAAATGTGGAAGCGAAACGCTTCGTGCGAATCCGGGGAAATTCCACAACATAGAGGTGGAAGCCGCACCCACGCCTAGTCTCCCGATTCCCGCCCGCCGAATTCCATCGCACACCTCCGTGATATATCCTGTAGAATACCGATAACCGACGCCATCCCATAATTGGCAGCAGTACTCCATATACGACCGGACTTGTGCTTGGTACAATTGAAGCAACTGTTTTGGTGTGAAGTATCGCCTCACCTTGGAAAGGATGCCAAGCTTCTTGGCTGCATTTTTGGCCATGGATTCAATGTAACTGCCGAAGTTCAGACTGGACGACAGGTACATTCCAAGTAGGTGAAGACGGTCGGCTATCGGTATGTATATATCACGAATACTCGGAGTCAGGTGAAAGGGACTCCGTTTAGTGGAGATAAGACACGCATGCGTTTTGGTAGCATTAAATTTGACAAGATTGGCATCGCTCCAATCGGAGACTGCCTTAAGTGTCAAATTCAAACGACTAACCATGGACTTTCGACAAGACTGGATTTCTTCTCCACTGACCCTTGCATTGGTCAAGTACCTGTCCACAACTGTGCTGTCATCAGCATACCCAAAGGTACTGAAATATCGTTTGTATGCAGCAGAAAGAGGATTGCGGACAGTACAGAACCCTGAGGAACTTCGGCATCTATCGCCCGATGTTCGGAAGCGTAGCCTTCTAAGATCACTCGAATCGAACGTTCACTCAAGAAATCCGAAATCCAATTGCAAAGGTCAGAGGGAAGCCCATAAGAGGAAAGCTTGCTTAAAAGGCTTGCGTGCCAGAACCTGTCAAAAGTCTTACAAATGTTTAAAGACACTTCACTGGGTCCGCCATACTCTTCTATAGCCTCTCTCCATAAGTGAAAGGCATACATAAGAAGATCCCCAGTAGATCGCCCTCTTCAGAATCCGTACTGGCGAGCACTGAGGAGACGTTGTCTTCAAGCTATGACAGGAGACTGTTGTTAAGTACACATTCCATAGTCTTGCAGAGTATGGAAGTGACTGAGATAGGTCTATAGTTGACAGGGTCAGCTCTGCTTCCTTTTTTAGGCACTGGTTGCACATTTGCAAGCTTCCACGACCTGGGAACTACACCAGTCACAAGCGAGAGGCGATACCGGCGTGTGAGAATAGGAGACAACTCAGACGCACAGTTACGCAGGACTATTGTTGGAATTCCGTCTGGCCCGCTAGCTTTATGTACGTCTAGACTTCACAGAGTTCTGAGTACCTCTTTTTGGCGTATGCTAACTGGCGCCATAGTGCATCCAGTCTAAGGTAAAGAAGGCGGTAGGTATCCTGCGGCATCCAGACGCGAACTCTCTGCAAAGAGTAAGGCGAAGAGAATCGCCTTCTCTTTCCGCAGTATGAGCCAGCGAGCCGTCTGGCCTCAATAGAGATGGTAATGAGTGGCTACTAAAGTTTTTTCGACCGCTTTGGCCAGGGACCAAAAGGACTTGCTGCCCGCGGGAAAAGAGGCAAGCTTCGCCCTATGCGGCGCACATGGTCGAACATGGCCCTGCGTAACACACTTTTGCTCTTCTTGGCGGCTTTATTTAAGGTTTTCTTCAGATTCCGAGTATTCGGAGCTTTGCGTAGTCGAGCAGTCTTCATGTGCTTCCAAAGGCCGGTTCTGTTTAGACGCACTGCTGTTGACGCCGCTTCCTGTCTGATGAACAGTGGGAGGGGTCGCAGGTCCAGCATCGCTTCGAGGGCCGCAGTTGGAGTTGTCCTCATGCAACCGGTCGTCGCCATGCAAGCGAGTCTTTGTAATTTGTTCAGCTTGTCAGGTGCGGTCGCCAATTTGGTTCGTAGCCACCATACTATCGCGCCGTAATTGATGTTCCCATCCTTTTCCCGGAAATTCTCAGGAAAGTTCGGATGTCTCCCATCCCCGACACGCACTCGTCACCTGAACGTAGCTGAGGTAACCCTTGTCAGTTGGTCATCTGATCTGCGTTTCGGTGAGGAACAGCAGCTGCGGTTTATCGGTTTCCAGGTGGTGGTGGACCGCTTCGATATTTGAGTGCAGCCCTTTGATGTCGGTGACGTGCACTTTTAATGGGAGGACGTGCAACAGCTGTGAAAAATGAATTTCTTTTGTGTGACTCATAATTATAAGTTGGAGAAGCGAATAGGCAGGAGGAAGGCAGTTGTAGGAGGCATTGCGTCGTCCAACCAAGCAGCAAACTCACACTGCCACACGAGTGTATAATCGGTTTGGAGACCGTGGGGACGCCTGAACCCCCCCGGAGATGGCCACCTGGTCCTTCCCTCCGGTCGCCAACCGGCAAGGTGGAGCATTCTGGGATTTTTCGTTGGGTGGCGGGGCAGCCTTTCACGGGTGGCTTTCCCGCTACTTGGGCCCCCAACTTCCCACCGTCGGCCAGAGGTGCACCGTTCTTCAGATCCCGCTAGCATCCAGAACCGAGTGCTCAGTGTGGCAGTACAACTAGCTACTACTCGTCGTTGGATGCAATACAACTGTTCAGACCCGACTTCCTAATGGCAACTCTCGAACACGAGCCGGAACACGGATAAATCATTTGGCGACTCGACTGTGTCGGGAGGGTGTTTACCAGACACGGCCGAAGCCTACCACCGATAGTTGTTGCTCTTTAGCACCGCTCAGGGGTCACTTGTAGGGTCTCGAGGGTAAACCTACGGAAGCGAGCAACATCAACCCCCAATTTACTTTTATTATGGAGATATAATTTTTTTTTCGAAAGGTGAAGTTCAGTTAACTTCAAGAAAAATCGTTTTGCCTGTATTTCCCGAAATATGTGAAACTTCCCTTTGGAAAAAATAGAAATTGACTATCTATTTAAACTTTATTAAATGTGAAAATCATAAGTCCTCAAGCGCACAAAAAAGCGAGAAAAGAAATATTTTGTTAATTTTAAAATATATTTATATAAAATTAACCGCACTAAATTAATTTTTTTTTTACATTCAAAATATACTACATTAATGTACCTATCGAATAAAGAAAAAGTAAACGTTTATCTCGGGAGATCTCGGAGATACCGCGTTTAGAAACGGTTGTTAAGGATTTCCATGGAAATAGGGTTCTCACAAAATGTAAAAATTTTTACCCGACTACGTGAATCAATGGATTAACACATAACCATGTGTTAAAACAACAACAACAACAGCAACAATAATATATTTATTTCGAATATGAATAGAGTAGATACAAAGATGTGAACTTATTTTAGTGTTAGTAAATATAAAATTTTATTCATACATGTGGGAGCTTTGGTAGCCCACAACAATTCAAATTTCTTTATGAGGTTCGGATAACATAGTCCATATGGTACATTAATTGAATGTTTACATTTTTAAGTTACATTGGTAAAATTTAAAATCAAGTTAAATAAATTAAATTGAAGAAATTATGTCAAAAATAATTTAAAACTATGTACGTTATATAATATTGGCATATTTTGTTATAATATTCACGTATGTGCATTACGTTGTGTGAATAAAGATAAATTATCCTGGCAAATGCTGAAAGCTCATTTTTCTCATCGGATTGCAGAATGATTTCGTCTGTTGCGAGCGTGATATCAGCAGCTTCAATACAAATGTCTTCTGATGGGTCATGATAGTAACGAACATTTTCCGTGGTCACTCTTAGAAGGCGAAGAACACGGCGGGTAATCTTCAAAGAAGATTTTTGGGCATTATGCCATTGGAGGAGCGAATTAGAACATGACTTTCTTTTTTTTAATTATTCAAAATGGCCGTCGCTGCCATTTGTTTTTGTCTTTGACATCGACATTTTAACTCTGGTTTATTATGATTTCATTATGGTACATAGTTGTCTATGACTTCATTACTGGTTTATCCTTGATCCTTATCCTCTCAGCTAAACCAGTAATTTGGTGTGCCGTGTGGTAATTATCACCATGTACAAAAAGTGTTGCATAGAAAACTGCGAGTAAACGACAGGACGTTAAATTGCATCGGTTTCCCGTCTGAGATAGGACTCCAAAAGTGGTTACAATGCATTGGTAGTATTCAACTTCGCAGCCATAATTTACAGAGACTACGTAGGATAGGTGTTTGTAATAAACATTTTGAAAAGAGGTTCATTACTGCCACATTGCGTTTACGTTATGGTGCTTATCCAACTTTATTTTCGGAAAACAAAATAACAAGTGGCTTGCCTGCAGAAGTTTCCGAAAACATTGGTAAGTAAACACTTTACTATAACATATTACCTTTATTACTAACTTTATTATACTAATACGCTGCTCACTAATGCCGTTATTAAATCTTAATTAATGAATTAACTTAATTAATACCGTTAATTAACAGTACGTTAGTCGTTGGTACGGAACTCAATAAACTTGTACTTTGCAAAATGTACTAAAATCTGTTTTAAATTTTATTTGTTTATTAGTCATAACTTGTATAAACATGTAGCATGTTATCTTTTCTTAATCTAAAACTCTGTACTTTTAGGTAATTAAAAGAATGTAAATAAACAAGAGCTATCGAGAAAAGTTGACATCTTCATTAATGATTGCTCTTTACAATATTGAGGTATAAACCCGCGACAAACAATAGGATAACACAAATACAAAGAAACAACACAAATCGAGCATTTTCAATTATCTGACCCATCTGCAGTATAAAATATTTATTTCTTGTTCTAATGAGGCTTAAGTACACCCTACTGTGACTATATCACACTCATGGGGAAGCTCATAAACAAACCCAATAGCACTCCCTTGGTCAGAGTTATATTATAATAAACTCTTTATACAGTCTACTGCAAAATATTAGCTATTGTATGATTTAATTTTTGTTATTTAATTATGTATGTGAAGTATATAATATTGAAAAGATTTATCTCCTTAATAACCTGATAAATAAAATTGTCGGTTTTAATGTGTGAAGCTCACTTCTGAATAACAATCATAATTCTTTATTTAAATTTCTGTACAAGAACGTTGAAAACTGAAACTGAAAATCATCTTAAAATCACGTGATTTTACTTGTCCATTGATTAGGTACATCTTTAGCCTGAAGATTGAACGTTCTCAGTGCTGAAAAAGATATTAAATGGAGTTGAGTCATTGATCATTTGCATTACAGGTTTGGTGCAGATTTGTCCGGTCTTACCTAACACTTCATGCAGATGGAGAGCAGACCACGAGGAAAGCGTGTCCAAGGTATGTTATTATTTTTAATTCATTTGATTAAATGATTTTTAGCCTCCTCTAATCATTAGGCTACTACGGCTTTTTATCCAAACTAACCAGTTTATTTACTTTAATTTTTTTAATTTCAGAATCGGAAAGTGTACTTACCAGGGAAATTGGACCCTCGACTCCCAAACGAAACAAAAATATTAGAAAACGTTTGTTTCACAGTATGAATACCCTGACACCTAAATGTAGAAAAATTTATAAAATGTATCGACTGTCCAAGAAGCAGTTAGATTTTAATAAAAGAGCAAAAAGGGCAGTTATGTTTAATGAACGCGATGTTTTGAATAAATTAACTTCCAAAATGAGTCCAGTTGCAAAAAAAATATTTTGGATGCAAATCAAGCAATATGCAAAGAAAATTAAAGGACAAAGATTTTCAAACGAAAAAAAAATGATTGCTTTATCAATTCTCAAACAGAGTCCAAAATGTTACAGTTCTTACAAAGAATATTTATTTTGCCGTCTAAAAATACCCTCAACAAAATGATCTCGAAGTTGAAAGTTCTTCCTGGAATAAATAAACAAATTTTTGACACGACAAGAGGTAAATTTTTTAAACTATCTTATATTTTATGTTTGTTAGCGAAGACGGCTGGATTACTTACTTTTTTGATGTTAGTAATCCGGACTATGAAGCTATAGGTCCCTGGATCGGATCCTGCTATGATGTGAGTCGTGGAAGTAATTTATATTAATATCTGTTGTCTGCGCCCATAGTACCTAGCTTTTCTTAGTTTACGACTAGTAACTGGTGGACATTAGTCAATTGTCCCAAGATATTTATTATTTATTTCAATTATTATACCAAAGTCTGGAGTGCATAGCATAAAGTAATGTAAAATAAATCATAAAGTAAGGTAAGGTAAGGGTACTGACACTGTGCAAGAGTAAATGTTAGATTGAATTATGATTTATTGAATTGATTACATCATTATGTAATTCCAACTTTTATATCAATATTTTTGTTTATTCCAGATGACCAATTGGAATGAAAAACAGAGATATTTCTCCATCATTTTGCCTTTTGCCTAGCATTCGTTTGACTCGTTTACAACATCGCCAAAATACCTGAGCGCATGTTCAAAAGGGTAGGTTAGTTTGTTTTGTTCAATTAATGGTTTTCAATTGTTTTAAACAAAAATTCCTGTGACTAACTGTCTATAGCTAATCAAATTATGGATATAATCTACTAAAGTCTTCATGTTAAATTTCTGTGTAATTTTACGAACTAAATAAGTACCCTACCGTGTACCTGTAAACTTACGATTTGCTTGCACGTAAAGATTTTTAGTTTTAACATTTGGTACATATAAAAAATATTAATTAAAAAATAGAGTGTTGCAGCCTAATTTGTTAAAGTATGTACAAATGCCCATAAATATCTTTGTTTTCACTAAAAAAAAATTGAAAATAAACAAGGTCAAATAACAAAATGTGTTTCATTTTTCATTTATTCATCTAATTAATACCGAATAAGCCTAGGAGCCGGAAAAAATATGCAAATTGGCTGTTAACACTGTGCCTTCGCTTTCATGTCTGACGTAATTTAAAAAAAACGAACTGTCATGTTCTAAATCGCTCTTTCCTTATTGGCCATTATCTGTAAAGGGGAGTGGTTCGTCTGATACGTAGTATCTCTTATTAGTTTGTGGCGAAGAACTTTATCAGGTATAGGTTGACATTTTTTATGTTTGTGACGTGTACTAAGTGTCAAAGAGGATAAATAAGGATCAGATGATTCCAGTGCACGGCAAAACAAGTCTGTGGTGGTCGTTTTCCATCCAACTTTCGTGTATGGTGCTCTCGATCCTAACGTCAAACCCTGTTCCTTGATTAACCGGCTTGTTCCTATAACATACCTGTTGGTAATGTGCTACACTCAATGAATATAAAATATTGCAGTATGCAGACTAGATAAATAAAAAATTAAATAAAATAAAAAGAAAAATAAAAATTCAATATTTCTGGTCTCTTGTGTTTGTCGCATCTGGATTTTTTATGGTAGTACTTATTATTATAATTAACAAATCCGCGTTGAAAAACATCCTAAAATGAACAAAGTCTTCAGAATTTTTTTTATTAAAATGTAGAAAAAAATTATTGTGCTCTTGGATAGCTTGATATTTTTTATTTTTTGGACCTAATGGCGCTTTTATAGTTTTCTATCATAACATGAAATATTTAACGAAAAATCATTTACAGGAACGGAAATAGTTTGATTTTATGGGTTTTATGGATTTTTCTCGATTTTCTAAGTTTCTCTAAAACTAAGATAGATATAGCCTGGAGAGTTTTATTAGGAACTTTGTTTGAATATTATCTTTCTAAAAAACACATAAAACGAGGATGTTCGCAACTAAGGTAAAATAACACACTGTGGGGACACTATAAACAAAATTTACGTAGAGTGATTTGGGACTGACCTTGCAAATTGTCCCTATCTACCGACCCAAGTGATCCGGAGAGACTACGGGCTCAACGGCAAGACCACATCTCCGGCACTAGCCCCGAGAGCTAGTAGAGGATAAACTAGACATCTTCCGGTCCTTCCGGCCGCGTAGGAATTTAGGAACTGGAGAGACACCGTTCATTCGGTGTCGGGAAGTGAGCGTGTCTTACAGCTCCGCTACCAATGAGGAGATTTGGTAGTCGACTTAGAGTCGGCGGCTCAGCGGTGGCAACCGTTAGTTGCACAGAGCGCGACGGGAAGTGAGCGTGCCTACAGCTCCGGTACCTATCTGGGAAATAAGAAGGGTGTTGTACGTGCACTCGGGGCGACTAACTTAAGGCACTAGCCTTACAGAGAACCGGATGAAGTCCATGCAAATGTGCTGAACCGGGGTTAGTACCTGATTTAGATGGTCCTTGTGCGAGTGAGCTCGCACAGGTCATAGTGCTCGTCCCGCATAACCAAGAGGGTGATGGGGAGGGGCACTATAAACAAAACTTATGTAGAAAGATATGGGATTGACCTAGCAAATATCAAGGACTCCGATACCTGTTCTTACTAAGTATAACCCCTGGATATTAAACCGGACAATTGGACATTGATTTGCTTTCTGATTTATATAAAATATGGCTGGTTCTGTAAGAATCTGTTGTGTGCCGGCAGCGGCGTGTGGCAAAACACGTAATTGTACTGTTGTTTCATAGACGATTGCATAGGTGACGACGGAATAAAAAACTTGACATTTAATTATGCTACTAAAAGAAAAAAGAAATACATATTTTTATAAACGTGAAATTATTATTTTACGTTGCTCATTCCTTTTATACAAAACGTATAATACGAGTAGGAATGAGCAAGCAAACTAGCTGATTCTGACAAAATTAAAATATAATAATATGTTAGCAGAAAACCATATCTTAATTTTGTCACCATTAGCCGGAAAGGTTGACAATAAGAAAATTTGTTTTTATAAACCAAATCCCTGAGGCATTGTACGTACACCAAAAGATTCAGTCCAACATCTCTATTCACGTTTATTCAATGTACTCTGTGGTAGGTGTATATACATCAGTCCACTATGTAGTCTGTGCATGCATCGTCTATGGCGTAAGTGTACAAGTAGTACTAAAGTAGTAGGTATGTGTGTACAAGTCACTGATATATTGAGATAGCCAGTGTTGTCAGGTCAAATTCCATTAAAAAAATCTTATTTTTCAGAAAAATAAATATTTTTCCTTCAATTTCCCACATTTGACGTTGACACCTGTCAAAAGTTGAAGTTAGTGAACGAGAGCGATGTACAGGATGTAACGTACATACAAACCCAGCAACAAGTGATGGTGGTATAGTTGGTGGAGGTTTTTCACTGTTGCGAAATCTTTTTAAATGTCGTTTTTTTAATAGGTGGCATAAAAAAAGTTCAAAAGATATTTCTACACGTAGTACATAATATCATCATCAACCCATTTATATGTCCCACTTCTGGTCACGGGTCTTCTATCAGACGATGGTTTAGGCCATAGTCCGCCACGCTGGCCCAATGCGGGTTGGGAAACTTCACACATTTTCCGAAGAGTTGTGAACCTTCTTCAACGTGCAGGTTTCATCACGATGTTTTCCTTCACCGAAAAGCTCATGATAAATTTCAAATTAAATTTCGCTCATAAATTCCAAGAAACTCAGAGGTGCGAGCCCGAATTCGAACCCACGACCTTCTGTTTGAAAGGCTATCCACTTTTTTTTTTTGAAAAATTTCCACTATTTGAAATTTTTCAGAAAATTACCCAACAGTAAACATGCGTGATGTCATGATGTGACTGATGAATATTGTTTTTGCCATTTTTTCCGTAAAGGAAAATGCAAATTGTATGACTAATTCAAAAAGATTTTTTCGTAACTGAATTACTAAATCACTACGTTTGGCGGCGGTGTTATGTAAACTTTAGTTTTACATAATCTACAGTTTCATTTCAAGTTTGACACAGAAAAAATGGCGGGTTTTTGAAGTTACGAGTACAGTTTTTCCATCCTCTAAGGTTTTTATAAAGATTATTTTTATTTTACGTATATTATAAAGAAAAAGCGAAGAAAGAAATAGTCTTGAAGGTGGTTAGAACTATATTCGTTATTTTAATCCAAATTACAACAGACTTTATCCTGAAAATTTCACTAATTACTAATTCAAAGTTTTTGTTCAAAGTGATAAAAGATAATATGAAAGTGAAAGTAAAACATAAAGATTGACTCCCGCCGCTTAAAAGACTATTTAAAAAACCCAAATAAATGAACGAAGTTATAGAGAAAGTGATGGAAAATATTATCGAAGATTACGATAAACGAAGACATGGCTCAAAGTAGTTATATCCAAGCCAAGACTATTGATAAAAAAACATTTGACACATTTTTTGCGTACGTATTTTTCGAATCTCGAACTAAAATACCCGTATCGGCCCGTTTTAAGGAATGCCGAGTCAATCTAAGCACGCCGCCTCAAATTGCCTATCCTCTTTGTGGCGGCCATATTTACAGAAACATAATTAAACTTCATGTTTAGGCTGATGGCTTTGCTAAAGCCTCAATAAATTAAAAAAAAAAAAGTGGTTTCACTGGTTTGTGGTTTGTGGGTTCGTGTTCTTGTGTCTCATTTCCACTTCTTTACTCAATTTTTACAAAGAAATACTCCAAGATTTTTCACAATTTGATTTTTAAAATTAATCACTATGCAAGGACCAGCTGTTTTTATGGACATTTCCCTTGAGGATCAAGTAATATAACTTAGACATAACCTAACTTTAATTATTTTCGTGGACGTTGTATACGAAATAATGTAATTGATTTTTGTTTTATTTTATAGGCTCTGGAACTTCGAAGATATTTTAAGAGTCTGGGGGCAGAAATATCTGATGAAAAATCACCAAAAGGCGTTGAGGATGATTTACACAAAATCGTTGGAGTTTGTGACGCATGTTTCAAGGAGACCAACGAAGCTGACATCGAAGCTATTCTGAACAGTGTCGTCTCCATCATGGTATCTGTAAGTGGTCTTATAACTTGTCACTAGTTTTATTGCTAGAATTGTACGAGATTTCCTATCAATATGGCTTAATATATTGTCTGCCCACTATCACCATCACTAATTCTATAAGCTGTTTCAATAAGTGTTAGTCTTATAATTTCCTGTTTGTTTTTTAACTAATTTTCCAATTTTAAAGGAATTATAGACACTGCGGCCAGGTGGTAGGAAAGGGAACACTGAAAAACAACAAATTTAAGTCCTGTGTTCCATTCAGTCGAACTGAAACTTTATATAATAATCATAAGCTTGTTTGTCTTAAAGTAGTGATTTTTAACATACGTTTACAGATACCCTTGGAGAGAGGTGAAAATCTCATCACAGCATTCTGTCAAAGGCTCACAAAAGCTCGTGGATCCAAACTCGGTGTTATTGTTCTACAGTCGTAAGTATATTATTGTTTACATTGTAACTTTAATATTCTCTACATCGTAAGTGGTTTTGTAAAATAAATGAAAGTAGTTTGATAGCAATATAATTAATTAGATTTTAGACTCAGAATGTGTGAAATGAACTCGAACGCTCAAGACAATAGGGCCGAAGGCTCTGAACAAGTATGAACCTGTGCACAAACACTAGCAATTTACAAAGTTTGTCATGGTGTGACCCAATCATATAATGAGTGATGGTAGCATGAAAAAAGAAAGTGCTCTTTAATTTGACTTATATGTGACTTTTTGTTTGTGGTATAGTGTTTTCATTTTGAAAATTGTTGGTTGACAAATATGATCAGTGAAGAAACCTGGACAAATGAATAAATTCGAAAATGAATTATTCACATCATCACCTACTACATGTATTTTTAACCCTTAAAAATACACATTTTTGGCGAGAAATTATGATGGTATGAGGTAGTAAATCACTTTAAATTTCACATCAAATGTAGTCACACAATATTATCATAGAATAGTTGTTTTTTATTTCAAGTAAAATCATTTGATAGTTTTTGAATAATTATAGTTTTTGTGAGCATCTGCAAATATTTTCTTGAGCTGCCATTACATTGCACGAGTCAGGTATATGCAGTGACAGTTGTCAAAAGAGTACAAAGGTTAAAAAGCTTTGCATTATGACCAACCTCTTGTTCTTTTAAATTTTATCACCATTGATCCATTTATGTGTCCAACTGCTGGGCACCAGTCTCCTCTCAGATAATGGTTTAAGCCCTTTATTTAAATTTCATATCTTCTGAAATCGTCTTGTCATGCTTAACAAATTTGACAAAATTTTCAGGCAATATATGAATTTTGCTAAAAAAATTTTTGTGTTTTTCCAGAATTTGGCGACTTTACAACAACTTGGAGCCAAACTCCCCATTGCGGTATCATGTCTACTATCATGTAGTGGAATTGGGAGCTCGCTTTGGTAATGTGCGTGAAATTTTCTCTGGTGTTGAGCAGCTGAAGAAAGAGTTCGCCTCTTGCCCTCCTTCCAATGAACAAATGCAGAAGTTGTACAGACTGTTGCATCAGGTTTTGAAAGATCAGAACAGGTGATTTGTTGTTGCTTTTCCTCTTGTTCACTAAAAATTGTATTGTTTTTCCACCAACTAGAACATGTAAGTTCTAGAACATGTTCTATGTAAGGTATTGCAAAAAATGTGAGAAACATATTTTTTTACATGGAAATCCTCATGGATACCAAAGGTCCGGACCAGATGGTTACATCCAACTCCAGCTGGGAAGGTACCCAGAGGCCTAAGGACTAAAACCTTCTCCCCTTAGGTGTTTCTTCTTCATTATATTTCGAAGGCATTGTTTTGTTTTCTTCTTGTAACATCAATCAATTCTTAATTTGAAAATGACACTTGACTATTTAATTTCTTTTTATTTTAATTCCTTTCATTCTTCAGTGATTGACTAATTGTGATGATGTGTTATTATTATTATTATTTAGTTTATATTATTGTGTGTATGTATTTATGTTCTATGTATTTTGCTGTTTTATCTTATTTATACAGCTTTATATATACTTTATTCTAGCAGTTGTAGTGGGGTTTATGGATAATATTTTTTTTAAATATTCCACATACAGTGGTGGTCGTATAATTAGAAACACTACAAACGGTCCTTGACATTATGTAAGAAACTTCACCGCAATCGTTTTTATTTTGAAATTAAACAATAAATAGGACAACAATAGGTTCAACAATATATTATTTATTAGAAAAACAATATAAATCCCACTACACAAGTGCAGTTTCAATATTACATTACGGACAAACACTTAAATAATTTTTAAGGTATAAATAGTCAATGGGTATAAACAATAATGGACAACTAATTAGAAACAACAACAAGAAAGTTGTAAAAAAACAACATTCTTTTAATTATTAGCAATTAGTATTTTTATTTACGAAATAGCTACTATCCACAGCCTACCAATATTTATAATTAATATTTAGTGGCGTATCCCTTATTTTCAATAACAGCTCTGCAACGACGTGACATTGATTCAATCAATGTCATACATTTTTCTAGGGGGATTGAATTCCATGCTTCAACAAATGCTTCATATAATTCGTTTTGATTTTGTGGTGTTACGTTTGTTTGAGACTTTCTTCTTAACAATATACCACAGATTTTCTATCGGGTTTAAATCCGGATTATTTGCTGGCCAGTCTAAAACGGATATACGCTGTTCACTAAGGAAACATTTGACGCTATTGGCCGTGTGTTTAGGATCATTGTCATGCTGAAAGATCCAGGTTACAGGCAAATGATCGAGAATCATTGTATCCTCTAAAATATTTTTGTACTGCCATTGATCCATTGTTCCTTCAATCTTCCGAAGGGGCCAACTCCACATCTGGAAAAACACCCCCAAACTTTAATGTTTCCGCCACCGTGCTTGACTATGCTCCTTGTGTATTTATAATTAAAAGCACTGTTTACAGGACGTCTAACATAGCGCTTTCCATCTGAATTCACCATGTTTATTTTCGTTTCATCTGAAAATAAAACTTTTTTCCAGTCTCGTACCGTCCAATTAATATATTTTTTGGCGAATAATAATCGCTTCTTTCGATGTTGCTTGGTAAGAAGCGGTACCTTTTGAGAGGTTCTTCCAAACAATTTAGCTTCCACTAATCTTCGGCGTATCAGTCTTGAAGAGACGTTTCTGGGGTCATCAGGCGAAAAAACTTCATTTTTAATCTGGTTTGAGCCTTTAAATGGGTCTTTTTTAGCAACACGAACGATTAGCTTATTTTCTCTGGGAGAGGTTTTTCTTGGCCGAGCCTATCTAAGAACATTTTCAACAGTTCCATGTGTTTTATAGTGATCAATTGCATTAAAAACTTTCTTCACAGAACAACTTAAATGCTCAGCTATTCTTCTGTACGTCCACTATAGATCTAAATGTAAATTAACAATTATTTGCCTAGTTGACGCGTCACAACTTTTATTTTTGCCCATTTTGAACAAAATTAAATTCAGATCAAATTTTGAGTTACCGCCAAATTAATAGAAAACATCAAGAAAGAAATGTTATTCTTCAATTTCAAAACAAGAACGAGCTATAGATGCTTTTTTCAAATGTTTCTAATTAGACGTCCAAGCAGCCAGGGACAGGAAATATACTCGTACATTGTGTAAGACTCATTTTATAATTAAAAGTAAGATATGTTTTGTTTTTATGCATTTAATCATTTTTTATTTGAGTGGCTATGTTATTGCATGATTATTTATTATTGAATTTATATATTTTTCACGAACATTTGTACGTTAAAGTTAAACTTCCCTCAATCATAAGAAGTGTTTCTAATTAAACGACTACCACTGTATATATGTTTCGCGTGTTTTATTGTGTGTTAGAAACAAAACAAGGGCAAAATTTTTTCTTCTTGTTTTGTTTCTTTTTATGGTGTCTGATGCTACTTCTGTACAGAAGCCTATTAGATACGATCTGGAATACTCGCCTGCCAACATTTCGCACAATGTTGAGAGTGTCAACTTTTTGTTTGTCGAGTGTGAGAAACATATTACCACCTATTGGACATTTTTTGGAAAGTTTACAACAGTCATTCAATTAAGATATGTATGAGGGCTGCCTTTTATATTTCAAGATTAGAGAACAATAACAAATATTTATCATAAAAAAATCGCTTTGTAGTATTTCAAAATATACCCCATGAAGATTAGTACACTTAGTGCCCAGTTACACTACGCGAAAATTTTCGCGCGGCTCACGCATTACCACGCTTTCACGTACATTAATGTTCATGATTTAATTCCGTTTTTTGGCTGACATGATTTTTCTCAAAATGTTTGAATACGTTTGCCGCCAAAAATGTCAAACTATGCTAGAGACATGGTTTGCCAGATCACAACACTAGGGTTGCCCAATATAGAAATATTACAACCCTTGTATCATTTGTTTAAAAGGTAATGTACAGGTATTTCCTTTATACTGTTTTTTATTTGCGCACTTTAGGGTAATATAAACTAGTACTTTTTATTATACTGTACTTATAAGAAAGTACAACTGTAAAAAACTGATAACTTTCTATTAAGTATATTAATAATACTAATAATAGTATTCTTTTCCAGTGAACTGGCCTCAAAAGTGATGATAGAACTCCTGGGCACATATACGGATGAGAATGCCTCATATGCACGCGAGGACGCCATCAAATGCATTGTAACGGCATTGGCTGATCCCACCACATTTCTATTGGACCCTCTACTCTCTTTGAAACCTGTGAGATTCCTTGAAGGAGAGCTTATTCACGACCTATTAAATATTTTTGTATCTGAAAAACTGTCTAGTTATCAGGCATTCTATAAGAATCATAAGGAATTTGTACATTCTCAAGGTATTTTTTTGTCTGTATATATTCTTATTGGTACATATTCTTATTTTCATACTGCAATTTTTTTAAAAAGTCATGGCATGAGTACTTATTAGAATGAAACAAGATGTTGATAATGAATGAATAATTTTTTTTAAGACTTTCATTATTTATTATTATTATTTATTTATTTATAAAGCATTGGCTTCAGAGCCATCACCTTAATGGTAACAAACAATCAAGAAACGCACAACGTAATTTACATAAACTAAACATTAATTCGTGTAAAACATGTAACTATTATAACCCGCCATTTGTTAAAATTTTCATTTCTTTTTAAGATTTTTTGGGCAATCTACTTATTGAGTAGGTACTTATTTTATACGAATTGTAGATGCGCCGCCTAAAGTATACTGTTTTTAATAATCAATGTAATTATGATTTTTCAGGCTTAGACCATGATCAGAATGTAAAGAAAATGCGGATATTATCATTTATGCAGATGGCAGAGAGCAATCCTAACATAACTTTTGATGAAATTACCACCGAACTGCAAATTGAAGAGAAAGATGTTGAGGCTTTCATTATTGAAGGTAGATTTAAGTAAATTACTTTTAAACCAAAACGGAGTTAAGATGTTTATTTGAACACATACCTAGTGAATCGTAAATGTGTTGCAGTGCTGAAGACGCGGCTAGTGCGCGCACGCATGGACCAGGCGCAACGCTCGGTGCGCGTGTCGAGCACGATGCACCGCACGTTCGGGCGCGCGCAGTGGCAGCAGCTACGCGGCGTCCTACAGGCCTGGCGCGCCAACGTGCAGCAGGCGCACGAAGCAATGAAATCCGTCGCTGCGGCCCAGATTGAATACAATCAACAACAGTTGAAAGCCTAATATAGGTTTCAAACTGTATTTGTTTAACGCAAATAAAGTTATAATATAAAATGGGAGTTCATTTTTATTATTTCAACTTGCATCATATTTCAGTAGTGTCCGGCCGAGTACTGAATTTATGAATGGATACATATACTGCCATCCCCTGACTAAAACGCGGCAGTATAATCTCTATCAGTATCCTACCATGCCAAGTTTATTTTAAACGTTCACTGAAAAGAAGTTGTCGATCACTTAGAAATGATCGTTAGCTAAATTAAAAAGTCGTACTGTCGTAACTAAATACATACAGTACGTAACTGTACGTATTTAGTTACGTAAATTTATACAGCGGAACACTAGCAAAATCTTCAAATTTATGCAGTTTTTTTTTTCAAATGAATGTCTGGCCGGTTATAGTTTTTAGTTTCAGTTAGTTTTACTATTTTTATAATAAATAATTAGTCGATAGTAACGTTTTGGGTTAGTATCTTGAGCAATTATAGAGCGTACCTTCACCTAATGACAAAGATGATCGATCTTCTGTCAATCTTTCTAATCATAAATTGTACCAAGTAGGTAATAGTCGAAACAAGTGTTGATCCATAGGATAATTTTGTCTCGTACATACTTATGCAATCATCAGGTATTTGGATCAGTCACGGAATCCGTAGGACTAGTCATAACCACCATGTAAACAACTTTCAACTTGCTATGCATAGTGTACCAGTAGTGATATGAATTTATCCAGCTTATCGAGTTCTTAGGTGTTCGCGATTGTTACACATAGGAAATGAAACTATTTTTCCGGATTTAAATCGCGTATATTTGTTTTTTCAAACAAACCGAGCCTGCGAGCATGTCATGGATAAACCTACACATTCAATTAAGTTTGACAAACCCCAGGTCCTTGCAAAAGAAGTCCGTTATCTACTCAGAATGCTGCGAGAGGCCATTGAAATTAAAAAACATCCTAATTTCAACAGGGAAGATGGTTTCGCCGTACCACCAGTTTGGAATCCAGTATTTCCTCTAATGAAAAATTCCAAACAGAGATAAGACTGCAGTACTAATTAATATGTTTTAGTTTATTCTAATTTCTATTATTCATTAATAATAAATTGAACTTAATAAAAACTCATTCAATAAAATAATTTGTAAAACTTAATGTAGCGTAAATTGGAATGTTTTCTTTGTAAAATTAAAAATAAGGTATTTAATTAATAACTATTGTAACTATAGGCAATGAAACTATTTTTCCGGATTTAAATCGCGTATATGTGTTTTTTCAAACAAACCGACGTTTCGAGCCCTTTACAGGTCCCATGGTCACGGTTGACAGTCAACCGTCATGGGACCTGTAAAGGGCCCGATAAAAAAAATGGAGAAAAAGATGAAAAAAAGCTTCCAATAGTGAAATGGGCGCTGATAATTGAAAAGATATTAATGGCATTCAGACTGTTTGCTTAACTATTTGTAGGTTTATCGCTGTTTATATGTTTATCATTTTCTTTGATGGATGGAAAAAAAATTATTCCATAGCGCATAGTCTAAGGGTTTATCGTATAGGCGCCTCTCGTTCTAGTCTACAATAATATTTTGATATTTCATTGATACTTAATTATGTTCAAAGAGGACCATTACATGTGCTATTCGCAATATATGCCAATCACACGTCAATGCTGTCAAACCAAGTTTCCAATTTCTTAAAAGTTAAAGAATCAAAAACAATAATATTTTACTAAATTTTGCAATACCCTGTTTGAAAAGTACCGTGTCGTGTCATGAATTACGACGATGGGTCACCGTACACGCGGCACGTGTTCCACTCGTTCGTGTGCACCACCCTCGTCGTGTTGCTTAGCTTCCAGATATATGACTACTTCTGGCAACCAGATGCCTTGGACACTGATGTCTCTGACGTGAAATATGTTGTTATGCAGCTCACGCGTGGTCTGTCCGAGGTTTATTCGCATTGTGTATTTGTATGGCTATTTTAAGTTATCCGATTGTTTCGGGGGACAAATTGATCAGGATATGTACGTAGTACCTATGTATCACCAAATAAATTGTGTTTCCAACCAAGTTTGCCCAGTTATGAGGAACATATGCAAGGAATATTGTTCCTTAACAATAATAGGTAATAGGACATTTTTTACCAAATGGTACACATAAAGGCATTTTTTTGTGTGAAAATCATGTGCACTCTTGTGTTTTCACTATACCGACTTTAAAATAGTACGTAAATGTGAATTGTGAGATGTGCATGATTATTTCAAAAACTGCAAAACCAATTTAAATGATTTTTTTATAACATATTATATATATGAATATATTGACGAACATGGAAGATATTGGAAGGAAGTGGCCATGAAAAACATTCTCACTTCAAATTGAGAGTGTTATTAAAAAGGCTGCAGTGTGTGGGCCTGTGTGAAAAGATTGGTGAATGTAAGTGAAGTAAGAGAAGTTTTCCAGGTTCGTAATATATGGCGATTGATAGTCTCTGCCTACCCCAAAGGGAATCCAAGGGCATCAGTATAAGTATAAGTTAAACATAGTAGTATAGTAATTTACCAACTATCTAAAGGGCGAACTTACAAGTTATCTGTAGATAATATTTCGACCCGGAAATGCTGTTTTTTAAGGGTTTAAATTAATGTTTACAAGGTAAATCGTAAGCACGAGTTGTTGCGTAGCGAGATTGACCGTATGGCGGCGGTACTCCCTTCAGCAGCGGCGGCGGCGGCGTCGGTACTCCCTTCAGCAGCGGCGGCGGAGGCGGCCAGCAAGTCGACAGCTGAAGCCGCGGTGCAATCTACTTGCAACTACGGAGTACAGGACGCCGCCGGAGATTATGATCGAAAGGTACTGTTAAACATATTCGGTCCCTATCTACTGACCCGTGAGATAATGAGTTCTGGGGAGACTACGGGTTGCCCGGCAAGACAATGGTACGGCGGGCGTTCGGGCCAAGCCCTCCGATAGCGATTCGACGCCTTCACGGGCGTCTCTGATGGACTCGGACTTGGATATGGACTCGCTTTACTAGCGGTCTAGACGAGGGTCTAAGGCGAGGATACACGCGGGACACGTTAGTTGCCCTTTCGTAGGCGGTAGCTATGGCCGGACATTGTCGGAGGACACTGCGATCGGTTTCTCCGGAAGAATTTAGTGGGAACAGCTAGTCACGACAGTTGTTCAACGATAAAAAATCGTCCACGACAGATAGTCGTGATATGGGAATAGGTTAGACACGACAGTCGTCCAACGATAATAAAACGTGACGACATAGTGGGAACGCGCCCATAGGGTTTTCCGGAGAGACTACGGCCTCGACGGCAAGACCAGGGTACAGCGAGCGTCCGGGCCAAGCCCTCCGCCAGTGATACGCCTTTGTTCTCTCGATGGGGTTTGTGGTTAGCTGCAGAGACGGACAAGTTTGTCTGTCCCGGTTGCATGTGTCCGGGGCGTCTGTCTCGTGAGCAGCTAGCGCGTCTTAGTAGCGGTCTAGGTGAGGGCCTGTATGCGAGGAGACGCGCGGGTCACGTGAGTTGCCCTTTAAGTTGGAAGCTATGTCCGGACATTGTCGAAGGATACTGCGACTGGCATCTCCGGCACTAGCCCGGAGAGCTAGTAGAGGAAGCGCTAGATATCCTCCGGTCCCTCCAGTCGCATAGGTTTTTGGGAACTGGAGAGACGCTTCGGAGACGGGAGGTGATCTGGAAAATAGGGAGGATACTGTGCGTGAACCCGGGGCGGCTCACCCGAGGCACCGACAGCTCAGGCTCACAGAGGCTGGTCTGGGGTCAGAACCTGACTGAGAAGGTCCCTGTGCGGGCTTGCTTGCACAGGTTATAGTGTCCTTTCCGTATAACCAAGTGATTGACAGCGAGAGTCACTATAAACAAAACTTATGTAGAAAAAATATATAGGGCATAAAGATGCCTATATGTTCGATTATTTTATAACTGCCTCCGTGGCCGAACGGTTACCACGCCGAACTGCCACGCAGAGGTCCCAGGTTCGATTCCCGGGTCGGGAGAAATATTTGTATGGCCTACATTTATTTCTCTCGTGAGTTTGGGTGTAATTTGTGGTTTTCTATGTGTGTGTCCATGGCACCTGCGACACAGGGTTTTCCCTAGTGCGGGGTTATGTTGAGTGTGTGCGTTATTATTATTATTATTTTATAACCGACTACAAAAAAGGAGAAGTTTTGTCACTTTGACTGTATTGTTTTGGTGTGTATGTTACGTGATTATTCCGACATGTGTTAACCGAATTCGACGATCCTTTTTTACTTGGAAAGGGTCAGTAATGGTCCCAAATTTGAAAAAAAATTCACCTCTAAGGGTGGCATATTAGGGGATGAAGCCGGTTTATTGGATTTCACTGTCCGTTAATTCCACAAACTTTTGTGGTCGGTTTTTGTAAATAAAGTTATTTTGTAAATAATTTATAAATCTTCATCATCACATAATACGCCTTACTGCTGGCACATTCGGCGACCACGTCTAAAAGGTATCACAGAATTTATAAGGCAATTAGTTTTGTAAAGAAACAGAACTCTACTTTTATAGGGGAAAAACTGTGGCTATCGTGTGAACTATATGTTCCCCAGATTAATAAATAATGCCTAAAACTACATATAATTAATTCTGTGGTATATTAAAAATAAAAAGTGTCTCGTTCTAAACTTTCATTATCTTTTAGTTTAAAAAAAAATTAAATTAAGGCAGAATATGACAAAAATCTACTTGAGACATTGATTCATACTATGTAAACGACTCCATTTAAATAGTCGACTTCTGTGTTTAGGTAGTAAACCTTTGATGGTAACTCTTAACTTATTTATAAATATTTGAACGTGGTTTTAATAAACAGGAGTGATGCCGTAATTCGTAGCATTCTTTTTTCGTACGTAGGAAATTCTAGATTCATTTTTCCTACAAAATCGTGTTACTGACACATTTAACACCATGTTAAACACCATGTTAAATGTGTCAGTGTTACTATTAATACGTGTTTTGACGGTGATGTAATGAAACTTGTAAGACATGTGAATAAGGTCCCCCAACCCGCATGTAGCTCCGGTTACGTCGCGCGCACTATAAGTTTCCGGAATGAATAAGAAAAAAATACTATAAATGGTCAGAAATTAATTTGTTGTTTCTCAAAATATTCTCGTTAGCGTTAATGCACTTTTTCATACGAATGAACCAATTTTGAAAACATTTATGCCACGCCTTCGTGACAATCTCTGAAATATATTTTTCATACTCTTCGACAGCGTCTTCAGGTGATGAAAATCGTTGACCGCGTAACCGGTTCTTAATTTTTGAAAATAAATAAAAGTCACAAGGTGCCAGGTTGGGAGTGTACGCGTGATGGCTCATAAGGTCAACGTTGTTCACCTTCAAAAATTTATTCGTCTGCCAGGCCGTGTAAGAACTGGCATTATCGTGGTACAAGATGATACGGCGTTTACGGTTATTTTTACGGAGATTGTCAATAACTTCCGGCAAACAAATGCTCGTGTCTCAATCACTATTCACAGTACAACGATTCTCCAAAGCAACAGTAGCCACGTGTCCAGTTTTATTAAAAAAAGAAGCAATCATCCGCTTAGAGACACTTAGCACGTGCGCCACTTTCGTTGGTTTCGTTCGGCTCATCTCGAAAGACCCATACGCTCGATTGCTACTTTGTTTTGAGATCGTAACTATAAATCCTTGTTTCGTCACCTGTTACTATGTCCCAGACCACATTTGACGCCCTTTCGTTGAATCTGGTAAGCATGGCATTGCACCAAGGGACGCGATCCGTTTTTTCTCAGTCAAATTGTGTGGGACCCACCGAGAGCACAGCTTTTTCACGTACAAATGTTTGTGTAGTATTGATTGTATTTGACTCATGCCTACGCCGAAAGATACCCGAATCTCATGGTATGTCACATGCCTGTCTGTTTTGATCATACGGCGCACAGCATCGATGTTTTTGCTGTTCACAGCAGTGGACAGGCGACCATCACGAAATTCGTCACTGAGATTCACACGACCGCGTTTGAATTCTGCAAACCAGCTATAAATAGTCGTCTTGCATGGTGCTTCATCGCCAAAAGCAGTTTGAAGCCAAGCGAAGCTCAGCTGAGCTGTTACATTACACTTTAATCGTATAAAATCATACTACGACAATTTTTACGAGTGAAATCCATATGATGTAGACAACCAATTTCTAACTGTATTCTACAGCCAAAAAAATTCCATTTTTAAATGTTGTAATTACTTTTTAGATATTGTTTTTGTTAGTGCAGACCGTCCAATTCCGGAAACTTATAGTGCGCCCTAAGTATAAACACACCATTACAAATTGATTTCTTTACATTTTTTATTTTTGTCTATATGCAAGATTTCCGTTTTCTATGCGATGTTGTGCACATATGATTCATCCACGAAGACAATATGTTTGCCTTCGGCCTTCATCGTTTCTATTTTTCGGAAATTTTTGATTTTTATAGGCGAATATCATACTTTTCCATTAGGACTTCCATATTACTTTCGTTTTCTTATTATCGAAACCCATCTCTTGAAAAAATTCTTAATGTCTTCAGACAGTCTCCAAATTGGATAGCCTTAACTAACTTCGCATTAAAAGCTCTCAAACAAGGTAGATCTTTAAAGTGTAAACGAAAATCGTAAACGTAACATGGTTTACGCAAAATAGTAAAAATCGTTTAAATTTAAACTATATTTATTTTTGTTTTCTCTTTTAGGTAATAGAAAAGTATCGGACTTATCTTTTTAAAATTTTGTTTACAGTTCCGACTAAAACAAGTTTTTGGATAACTGTTGTTAAATAAACATTGTTGTCATTTTAAATGCATCGGCTTCATGTAAGAAATACATAAGTACACGCGGTAAATTGCCTGATGTGACTTTAGCAGCTTTTCCACCCCGTTCTCACATAAGTTAAAAATTTGTAAAAATAAAACTACGGCTGTGTACGGTACTTTTGTAACAGGCAGTACACATTTTGTAACAAACATTTATAATTGATTTTCAATATACAGGGTATGTTATCTGAATTACAAATACATATATAAAAAATAAAGAGTAGTAGCTAGATACTCATTATACTTCCAACTTGATCGAGTGCGTCCGGTCTGCACCAACGGTCTGTGCATTACACAGAGGCAACTGATACAAATCCAACGACAACCGAAATAGATAGCAAGATTGCCTAAAGATATTAGTAAAATAATTGTGTGTACCTACTTAAATTAAGAGGTAATGTCTGTATATTAGTTAATAATAATATATTGTTATATTAAAGACTATATTGTTTTACATCCCGTATTTAAAAAAAGTTCCTTTATCTGATGATTATGAATCATGGAATTTTTTTTAGTTCAACTTTTTTTATGAGTACCTAACCATAGTGGCTATTTTTGAAATCGGAATGTCTGAGTTTTTAACCAACTACAAAAAAGGAAGGGGTTCCTAATTCGACTATATTTTTTTGTACGTATGTTACGCAATAACTTATTTGTGTATTTGCACTTGTGAACCGATTTTGATCATTCTTTTTTTTTGGAAAGAAGGTACCTCGATGGTGGTTCCGTTTAAATTTGAAGAATATTTTATTAAATCCACCTCTAAGGATGGCAAACTAGGGGATGAAACCGTTTTCGCGAATTTTCCGGTAACCGATTTCAATAAAACTTGGCAAGTAGACATAATTCCACGTTTAAGACATTTATTCTCACTAAGAATTATAAATAACACACTTACCTGAGAACACAGTAATAGTACATTATGATATAAGTGCGGTAATTTTCAAAGCGTACGTATGTCATACGACGTTTTATAACATATTTGCGAGAAATAAATAAGACTCTGACTTTTTTAAACGAATAAATCTTTAATTACTTGTTAAAGCAGTTATAGAAATTTGAACAATTTTTAAAAGTGATTGTTACGTTGCCAGTTGGCATTTTTAATGTTGTCAAGTTATTATTATTAGTCACAATCTCCCCAGTTTCTCTCTCACTCTCTTGAGTGAAAGTAGGAGAAACGAGACCACAGAGTTCTGCATTCGGTGGCGGCGGCGGAGGCGGTTGCGGCTGCCGCGACGATGGTGGAATGTACGCGTGTGTGCTCGTAGATGGTTGAAAGTCAACACTTGACTCCAAATTTATGTTCCTTGTAATGCGAGAGCTAATTTCTTCTTTATTTCTTATCGAGTCTTCTATGTATCCTTCAGCTACATTGCTTGACCGCCATCCTCCGTGGCGTTTTAGTGTCAATAAGTCCGCACCTGAATCGGCGAGCAATGTAGCCAAGGACCTTCTGAAACTGTGCCCTGTGTATTCATGTGCTTAAGGCAAATTTAAGAAAGTGGCAATTTCTTTCGGCATTGCTCCCAATTTATTAATGCCAATGGGTTGGTTAGTGCATTTTCCATTTTGGTAATTTTGAAAAAATCTGTTGGAATTAGCTTTTGTTGAACGAAGCGCTTCGTATTTCTTCACTACGTCGTAAAAAGGCCCCTGTATTGTGAACGACCTTGGAATTTTATTTTTTGTGTTTTTGACCTGGACAAGAAGAACCCGCCCATGGTTCTCGACATAATTAGTTGTTATGTTTGCCAACTCTTGACGTCTACATGCACCATTTATACCGAATATTAATACAACCTGAAAAGAGGTAAAAAGAACGTATAAACACCTATATTGTAAAGAAATACGAAAGTGAACGAAATTAATAACAATAATTTAGTTTCAACTGACCTTTGTTGCCAAATATCGCCAATCCGGAGCTTCTTTTAGGAACTTCTTGATATTGTCAGCCGAAAATACTTTCGACTTTTTACTTACATGGCCATCTGAGCGTCTTTTTAGAAATGCTATCAAGTTGGAGTATGACTTGATGGAGTATGAACCATGGTTTGTTTTCATAGTGCTTTTTAGCATTGAATAGTAGCACCACAATGAGCTTGACTTATATTTTTGAGAAAGTTCCATGAAATAGGCTAAAAACACATTTTCTGAAAATGAATTTGCATCTTTGCTTGTTTTCCATATGATGAAATTTTGATACGCTTGTAAGTATCTATCGGTCGATTTTTCAGGTAAGAGGCTTAGAGTAGCCTTTTTCGCTGCGTTTAAGACTTGTGGCGGTGTCAAATTCATAAATTCATCACTACTTGACGACATTTTCAAATAAAAACAATACAGCGAAAAGAAAAAGCGCGCGAAATAATTTTTACTTGTCCACAAATTAGCCATGCGCGCGCATCAACGTTTTTTTTTAGGCAAAGGTATAAAAATAGCCAGTATTACTAATAAAGTAAATTAATATTTTTGTGTTTTTGTTACAGATAAATGGTTGTAATTTATTGTCAAAATTAATTAATTGAAAGAATTAAATGTTTATTTACTATATTTTATCTCCCAAAGTAAATTTTATTCATAAAATATTGACCACTTTTCTAACATAAAAACTCTTTGCAAAGATTTAAAAATGTATCGTTCATTTTTAGACGGAGCATAAACCGTGCATGTTACTTTATTAAAAAAAACTCGTGCGTTTTACATTACAATAACGCACTTGTGCGTTTTACATTACAATAACGCACAAGTGCTAATGAAATACATTACGATATTGAAATTGGTGTGATTTCAGCCACTTTACGAGCAAATATGTTATAAAACATATTATTACTTTTTTTCCTTTAGGCTTTCTAAAGGACGGTAGTTCAACTATAAAATAATAAAGTTTTACCCGCATTCTAATAATAATGTAATAACAGACAACACGATCTCAGGTGCTAACTATAAGCGCAACCATGGATGTACTCACAGACTACGCCCACTGCTTGTACTAGATATGGCTCATTATACTAATTAAAATTTTATTTCTTTTTTAGACTTTTACCAAAGGCCACAAATAATAAAAAATGTATATCAATACAGGTGGTGTGTTTACTTTTCTTTTATTAGTGCTAGTAATTTATTTATTTGTTTTAAATTAAATTAATTTAATTTATTTTTTAATAATTAAATTAATTTAATT